CTGAGGGAGTTTGGGTTGTTCAGCCTGAAGAGCCTTTGGGGGCACCTTATAGCAACCTTCCAATACCTGAGAGGGGCCTACAAGAAAGCAGGGCAGGCACTACTCACAGGGGTTTGTAGTGACAGGATGAGGGGTAATGGCTTTAAGCTAGAAAAGAGTAGATTTAGGTTAGACATTAGGAAAAAGTTCTTCAGCATGAGGGTGATAGACCACTGGAATAGGCTGCCCAGACAAGTGGTGGAGGCCCTATCCCTGTCGACGCTAGATGAAGCTCTGAGTAGCTTGATCTAGTTGGAGGTGTCCCTGCTTGTGGCAGGAGGGTTGGATTAGATGGTCTTTGGAGGTCCCTTCCAGCCTAGACATTCTATGATTCTATGAATTAAAAAGTATCTGGGGTACTTTTTCGAGTGTGAGTTCCAAACAGGCTAGTCTCTAATTATCAGATCTGCTTGTCAGCATTTATAGCATGTCCACAAAGTGGCTGGCCCTAAGAGAAAATTGTACTCGAGTTAAATACCATCCTCTCCTCTTAGAGAAGTCTATGTAAGCACCTTGGGCTTTGGAAGACTTTTCTAAACAGAACAGTATGTTCTTACATACAGGCAGTTCATGCTGCTTCAGATCATGTCAGACGATGTCTCACTCCTTGCTCCCATGACAGGACTGCTTTCTTGCCTTAACCTTGTAATGAATTTGCCTTACCTTTTACTTAAAGCAAAACAAAAGTATTTCCACAGCCCAAATGATGCTAAAGGGACAACAAAATGACCATTTAAACTAACATGCCATTAATCTTGTGAATGACAACTGCAGTTTTCACTACTGCAGTTCTGTACTTCCGTCAGTTATGTCCTAATTAACTGTTGCTTGAGGGTTTTAATTCCCACTTACCTCCTTCGATTAACACAAGACACCTCTATGCACCTTCACTGTTCTGTCATATTTTGCAGACCTAGTGTTTCTTAGAAAGCTCATTTCCAAGAAGGGGCAGCTGGCAGTACGTAAATGAGCACAGCAAGATTTTTTTTTTTTTTTCTCAGAATACTGATCTGAAGATAATGCCAAGCACAGTCATTTCTCTTTCAGAATAGGAGGGAGTTTGCCTCCACCTTGCTCCATGTCAGAATGGGACAGATACAGCCAAAAAAAAAAAGGCAGAACCTTCCCCTCTCAATAAACAAGTAGAAACCATGAAGCCATTACTTTCACAGGTAAGTGCAGGTGAAATCTTCAGGAGCCCAACTTCTAACAGATGCTCTCCATCAAGTCTTCCTACTTGCCTTTTATTTAGAGGAGGAAGGTTGCAAGACTCCTGGGAAACTCATTAGCTGAATCTGTCATTCAGTTTATTTTACCCAACACAGAACCAGGCTTCTGTAATTAGCCTGGTTCTTGAAATTTACTGTTTCTCAAGGTTTTGGCACAGTGCCAAATACCTGAACTTTACAATGCTAAATCCACAGGCCTTGCAGGCATGGTTGGCTTTTTCCCCTCAGCAGGGTAGGCCTGCTTGGCTTCTGCTGGCCTGTTCACATGCAGTGGTAAGAACACAACACAGCTGCCGCCAACAAAACTGCACACATGGCTTTGCCAAAAGTTTTTTTAAATGTCACTGTATGCTGAAGTGTGCTCAGCTTCCTTTATATCACATTAAAATTTTGCTTCAAACCAATATCATGGTTACAGGGGCTGGGACCAGTTTATCATTATGTGGGTAGAACCAAAAACTGTGTATTCTATACCCTCTATGTCAATGCTCATGGGCTGTTAAGAAAATCATGGGTAGCAGCTGCCCAGGACAGACCTCACACCCCAGCCTACAACAGATAAGGAAAGAGGTTCAAGGTCAGGGGAGATGTTAACACCTTCCCACCCAGCAGGAGGATGCCTCCCTGTTAATGGGCCCATCCATGCCTCGCCCCATGACTCATACAGAGCTCCCCCCAGGAGCTATTTCTGTTTAATGGACCATCAAGGACCCACTGCATGACTCATAGACTGATATCAACCCATTGTGAGATGCTCCACCCAGGGGGAGGAGCCAAGTGCTCCCACCTGGATATAAACTGGGGTTCAGGACAGCACAGGAGGCCTTACCCACTGGATTTCCAGAGGACAAGAGCTACCAGATCTTTTCTACAAGAACAATGCTTCATCTGGACTGCTACCACTGCCCTAACTACAGAGTATCAGGTTGTATTCTGACTCTGTCTGTGGTTTTCCTTTGTATTATTGCATTTATTTTATTTTTACCTATTAAATTGTATTTCTGACTTGGAGTCTCTCACTAGTTTGCTTTCAAACCATTACAACAAATTAAAAACTTTGAGTTAAAATGAGCACTTTTAAACCATTTGCAAGCAATGATTTATTAGAGCAAACTGAATTTATACTTGCGCCATCAAAAGAAACAGTGCTGAAACCAAGTGTGTAAAAGCAATACAGAAACTAAGTGATCACATCCACAACTGCACCGATGCTGAAGACCAGTAGAAAGCAGGTTGCTATGAGTGACACACAGTAGTGTTGTTTATTCCACCACCTCCTTTATCTAAGTAAGCAGTTTTCAACATCATGTGCCTCTTGGTCTCTTCCCTTAACCTCACACTCCAACAGTTGCTTACTCATTCACCACAGCTCGTGAATATCCCCAGAGTTTATACTCAAATGCCAACTAAAGCTGGTCAGTAATCTCCAATTTTATGTAATCATCAACTACACATTAAGAAAAGATGCTTCAAGATTTCTAATTCATTTATTACCTGTGCACAAGAGAAGTAGCTACCAATAAAAACTCATAAGATATACAGTTTTTTTTTTACATGGTGGTTAAAAGTAATTAGAATATCACACAACCATGAATTAATGTTTCCAATTAAAAATCAGGATACATGTTAGAATCTCAATGGACAAGCCTAATAGCTTTTAAAGCAGTTCCAGAGCACAAGGCAGTACCCTGTTAATTTGCACAATTATAAAGGTAATTTACAGTTAATCTTTGTGAATACTGAGACAAAGTAACAGTGCAAGTTTCTGAACAGTCAGATTTAGACTTAACCAGAACAGTAATTCTAGTATATTTTAACTGAACTTGCTTAAGCATTTTTTTTTGCTAAGATGGTTACCAAAGATGCTGGGAGATTATATACCAAATCCAAGTGTTAACAACTTTTCTTTTCCCTTGGCTTTTTTGTGTCATTTCTAATCTCTTTTTATTGCAATGCACAAATGTCTAGAAATGAGCTGTCTCCATTGTATATATTGTGCTTACACAAATTAAAGCAAAAATGGTATATTACTCAAGTGGTATAAATCTTACAGCATTTTGCTAGCAAAAAAAATACATGCCAAAATCACAATAAGCAGTATTGGTACCCACAAACTGTAGCTTCAATTTTTTTCTTTTAAATTTGTATTCTACATAAATTACTGTGGAAAGCTAATGTTAAAGTAGTAAATAAATTGGACAGTTGGAGGTCAGACAAAACCTGTTCACCCAACTGTGAAAGCTGACATCGTTTAAAAAAAAAGAAATCACAAATGATGCAGAACAAAAGTGTGATGCATGCAACAAAGTAAAAATGCATTGATTCCCACTGTTTGAAGAAAACTACTGCACTCCACCTTAAAACATATCAGACCAATTTTAGTTGTAACAAGACAATCCCCAGAGTCAGAATGAAATAAAGCAAATATTTTAAAGATTTAAGAGCCGTTATCAAAAATAAATTACATTTTTTTCAAGTTAAAGAAACTGCTATGAAGGCTGAGAGCCGAGCAGCCTTTCAATAGCTGCGTTGATGTCTCCTCCTGTTGCTATTAGCGCTTGTAAGTTTGCTTCCCGGTTGAGAAAGCCCATCGCACTCAGCTGCTCCAGCTGCTGCTGAAATCTAACTTCTGGATTTTGTAACTGCTAAAAAAAAAATTTAAAGTTATAAAACAATGACACACATTTAGCAAAGCACAGGATTTAAACACAGTTGGTTCTGCACCGCCCCTGTCCTTGCTAATTTCTGACTACATCTTTTTCAAAATCCTAAAACTACACTATGACAAATTCCATTCACAACTGAATTACTTTTTAACAAATCAAAGCAGCTTCAAATTTAAAGAGTATCTACACTTACATGACATGTTTGAACTACAGGAAAAGTTGCTTCTTGGATAAAAAAGCATTATAATTGCATTAGGTAAATTTATGTCCCATGAAGTTTCTTAAAGACATGCATACAGGAATTTTTTTAAAAGTGAAATGGAGTTGAACCTAGTAATGTGGAACAGTAAGGACTATGATGTCACTGTCAGCAATGGTGAACATCACTGGTTTGTTGTTTTGGTTTTTATTTTCCACATTTAAAAAAAAAATAATCACCTCTTTTCAAGTATTTGGTGACTAAAATTAAAAAATTCTAGATGCTGGAAAGCTTCAATCTAAGACAAACAGACACCTGTTCTTTATGGGATGATGCTGCCTACACAAACTCATGGTAAAATTCTGCATTGTTTCAGTGATACAGGCTTCATGTCAGAGGCACTTCTGAATCAGAACCACTACAGGAAAATAATATGCTGGAGTAATACTGAGAAGTCACTTTCTTAAATCAATAAGTTAATTTAGGTATCAACATAAAACCCGTGCATTTTCCTTTTGTTCTAATTCAACAGTTTCAACACCAAGAAATTACTACTTGTATTTAAAAATCTGCATGGGGTTGCAAACCGATACAACGTGAAGACATAACCTAAAGTTTCAGAACTGCCACCCACCTGCTTTTCCTAAGCAAAAGGAAACAGAAAGTTGACTCAGTAGTGTCAGGTTTGACAGCCTAAGTGAAAATGTATGAGAATATGGTTTCCTGCAGTGATAACTATCAACACTTTCCTGTGGTTAGATAAGAAGAGAAATAAGCCTGTCAAATCATCAAGCCAAACTAATTCCCCCTGTGGCAGCAGAGGAGGAAAAAGCAGGACTACTGCTTCCACCAGCAGTCTGACATTATGCTGGGTAAGTAGGATGGTGTAAGGGTGCTGTTTCACAGAACACTTTGGAGACTCCTTTAATGCCAGTCTTGCTCACCACCTTACAACTACTGGCAAAGCCACCACCTCTGCTTGATTTCTGGAGCTCCCTGGAAACCCTCAGTCCCACTAAGTGTGTTAACAAAACGTGCTGCAGGCTGGACCCACAAGATGCCAATGAAGCCACAAAACAAATTCAGGCTCCAAATAACCAGGGTGTGGCTACTGCCAAGTGTGGGACACAAGCTTAGTCACAGCTAGAGAGTAACAGCCAGCAGTACAAACACAAAGCACAAAGGTAATGGTGTTCAATACACAAGCTCTTCTCTTGCTTGAGCCCACATTTCACTTGCCAGTGAACCTTATCGTCTCAAACTGCCTCAGATCTTCCCAAACATCTCAGAAATTCAGGGATATGAAGATAAGGGTATAAAAGTCAGCTGTTCAGAGAACACTTACTCAAATACGATGTTTTTCCAGCATTTATTTGCACAGCTGCAGCATCTCTTCTAAGTCTCCTCTGCTCCCTTTGACCATAAGCCTCCAGGGAGCTTCCTGCTCAACTATCAGCTTGCTTTCCAGTGACTTACAATGAAAAAATGAAGTAAAAACTAAAAAAAATCTAGAATATAGTGATGTATTTTACCTGAGCATTTGCATCAGCAAGTGCCTGCAACATATGCTGCACAAACTGCTGGTAACCAAGCTCAGCAGTCCCTGATACTGGACTTGTATTTTCACTGGGAACAGAACCAGGTACAGCAGGCCCTGTAGGAGCTCCCGTGCTTCCCAATCCACCTAAACCCGCATTAAATCTGCATAAATGATGGAAAGAGAAACACATTAGTTGAATAATAAATACTAGCTTGTCTCTTCTCATTTATTTAATTACGGAGTAAAAATCCTGTCAAAGAGGGTATGACAACTTAAGCAAAGGTACTAAGGCAAAGACCAGAGTCATCACTGTTTAGAAGTACACAGCAGTCAAAATGCGACAGACTTTAAAACAAGTTTGGTTAAACTGAACGAAAAAGGCAGGAGGGGAAGTCCGTAATAAAACCTGGATAAATCTCTACATGCAAAAAAATCTCTACATGCTTCTTACCCTGGTATAAGGCCTGGTGCTTCTGCTGCTAGTGTCTGCAAGCCCTGCTGGATCTGTAGCAAGGCCTGCATTGCTCTAGGGTTGGACATAGCTGATAATGTGTCAGGATTCTGCATCTAAGAAAAAGAGAGAAACTCTTAATCGTAGGCAGATGTTCAAAGTTAATCTTTACTACTAGATGTTTTATAGAAGCCAACATAATTTCAGAACTTGTTTTTCAACTATGTTTGAGTATTTACATGAAACCCTTTGGGTATTTTTTTTTTTGAGAAAACTTTCATAGGAGGTGATCAATGAACTCTCCAGATGTGGACAAACGGTTTTGAATAAAAAGTAAATACAGTTAAGTATTTTTCATTACCTCTTCTAGCAGACTTCATGATCTTTGAAAGCCATAAGACTGTATTAGTCCAACATCATTCTACAATGAGTCTCCTACATCATACTAAGCAACACTGCTGGACACAATGAAACTTTACCAATAGATATGTATTTCTTCTTCGTAGCTGAATTCAGACCACAGCAGTTTGATGATGACTATTTAAGTAAGTGTTCTGATCTGTAGTGCCTACCTAGAGAAATGCCAACAAATACATTGTAAAATATACTAGCAAACAAATGCCTAAGATTAAAGAGCTCTCGCTCTACTATGACTTTGTGCTGGTTTTGCTTGGATAGAGTTAATCATCTTCATAGCAGCTGGTAAGTGGCTACGTTTTGGATTTGTGCTGGAAACAGTGCTGATAATTCAGGGACACGTGGATGGGACAGCTGACCTCACCTCACCACAGGGATATTCCATCCATATGATGTCATGAGGGAAGCAGGAAGAAGCAGGGAAGACACATTCAATTCACCAGTGATGGTGTTTGTCTTCCCAAGTAACTGTTAATGTGATGAAGCCTAAATTTCTTGGAGATGGCTGAACACCTGCCAGCTAATAGTAAGTAGTGAATGAATTCCTTATTTTGCTTTCCTTGTGCACACAGCTTTTGCTTTACCTATTAAATTGCCTTTAACTGAAACCATGAGTTTTCTTACCCAATTCTCTCTTCCATCCCACTGTGAGGGACTGAGTGAGCAGCTGGGTGGGGCTAAACTATGACAGACCAGACTTCAATTAAAAACTGGCTTTCACATCCACAGGCAACTGAAAAGGCAAATCCTTTTCATTCCTGAAATTAGACATCCAGAAACCTGACTATTTTAGATACTGTCCTCATTTCAGCTGGGATAGAGACAATTTTCTTCCTACTAGCCGGTACAGCACTGTGTTTTGGATTTAGTGTGGCAACAGTGTTGATGACATACTGATGTTTCAGTTGTTGCTAAGAAGGGCTTACCCAAGTTAAAGACTTCAGTTTTCCACACTCTGCCAAGCAACACAAGGTGCACAAGAAGCTGAAGTGGGGTAGAACAGCCAGGAGAGCTGACCTGAACTGGCTAAAAGGATATTCAGTGCCACCAAACACTATGCTCAGTATATAAACTGGGGGGAGTTGGCCAGGAGGGGCTGATGGCTGCTCAGGCATCAGTCAGCAGGTGGTGAGCAACCGCAGTGTGCATCCCTTGTCTTTTCTTGGTGCTTATTCCTCTTTCTTATATTTCTTTTCAATACAATTATTGCTATTAATTTTTATTATTACCATTGTTACTATTATATTTTAGTTATTAAACTGTTATTATCTCAACCCATGAGTTTCACTGGGTTTTTAGCACTGATTCTCCTCCCTGCCCCGCAGGGAGAGGGGAGGAGTGGCTGCATGGTGCTTAGTTGTTGGCTGGGGGTAAACCATGACAGATACAAACCAAAAACTAATGGCTTACACTCACCTCTGCTTATAGATACCACAGGTAAGTGAAAAGTAACATGTTACAGTCACAAGTGACACAGTCCTGGTAGCCAGACCTGCTTCAAATAGCAGATGGGCTTATTAATGTTGGCAGCCTTCACTTGGTAACTAGGCTGAATTTCCTCTGCTGCAAAATTTTTTTATTGACGTAGAAATTTTGAATTAAGGTCAAACTTCCTCTGGTGCAGTGCAGAATTGCAAAATAGGACATAAAGAACTCTGCTCTTGAATATGGATGCATAATGAGACAAATAGGTTGTTAATATTCATATGATAACTGAAAGAGTAACTAAACATATAGTCAGCAAAGTTCACTTAACTTTTAAACAAGAAAATATTTTCTTGTAAGCAAGAAAAATTCTTTTTTAAGAAAAGTGCTTTCAGAAATATTTAAATCGTGACTTATTCTACAATATCTGGAGCTGTTTTACAGGAATGGTGGCCCAGCAATTCTCAGAGCACTTAGATGACCTGAATCTTGTCTCTATTAATGTTACCAGTTCCAGCTGCTAAGTAGCACCAATTCTTTCCTAGTTCTGCTGGGAAATTGCCCTTTGTTGCAAAAGAGGCCTTCCATTAGACATGGTTTCTACCACCAAGTCCCCTAATGTAAATGCCAGCAGAGAAGCAAGGAAGTACAAGCTGCAACATTGTTAAATTCTGAGAATACCCACACTCTTCCTCATTTTACTTCACCTGCTAATGCTGCACATTATCTGGCCTAATGCAGCGAATAGGAGAGAACTAGCTGCGCAGATAAACCTCAAGGTGGTATTGGCAGAAGGAGCTACCCAAAGGAAACAGAAATTATTCCTACTGTGACTTCATTAATTACTATTTATTCACAGATTTAGAAACATGCATGTGGTACTAGCTCCTCACATGCTACCAAGTCATTACAAAGCAGTGGCAGTATGAAACACTACAGCCATTCATATGGTTGAAACAGTTTAAACTGTTTTTTCAGACCACTGAACTCGCTACTGTAATTTATGTGCGTATTAATTATTTTACTCATAAAACCACTTATGTGTAATCAGGCCTTGGCAACATTTACTCTGATTTGCAAGGAGTGCCTAATGACAGAACTCATGCAGTGGATTAAGTTTTCAATTCCTCACAAAAGACTTGCTTGCTGCTATTTAGGGAACACAGTACTACTACACAGGGTGGCAGGTAATACCAAGCAAATACCCAGGCTGCAAGAACAATGTTCTTAACAGGGGCAGATGGTGGTAGGGTAATCTTTACAAGCAAAAAAACCTTCAGAATCCATGTATTTCGCATTAGCTAATGACTTGAGTGTTCCAAGGCACGTTTTATCAACAGCTAATATCTCATCTTACTTGCTGAAGGAAAGTTGGAAGTTGCTGTCTCATTTGTTCCTGAAGATGAGGATTTCCAGCAAACAAAGGATTATTCAACATCATCTATGGGACAAAAATAATTAACAAAGATCAAGCAGTAAAAACAACAGGGGGCTTTAAGACAACTACTTACACAGTTGCAGTCTATGAAAATAACCTTCACAGAACAATAATAATGTACTCCTCTGTCCAAAACCTGTCACGAATCACCAGCTTGAACACATTCCAGGGTTTTGGTTGTTTTATTTTGTTGTTGTTTCTTTGTGGGTTTTTTTTGTTTGTTTGTTTGTTTGTTTGTTTTTAATGGGAATAGTTTGGGTTTTTTTACAGTACCATTAATGAAACAGCACCTGCACTTCCACAGTGAGCACAGGTCACAAAATATGAAACAAAAGTTAAAATCAGAGTTAACGCCTACACATGGCACCAGCTCCCCTCCCTTCACTTCTCCCGAGCTAGTGGGTTATTTATTTACCGGTAGAGCTACCTTTATTTATTAAAAAAAAGCATTCTTTTTGCCTAACTGGTTCTTATGCTGGGTCACAAGTTCAGGGCTCTACAAAATGAAAGCAAACTTGGTTATCTTAGAAGTGTGCCTGGCATGGTGTCCAGATACAAACTGAAGAAGCTCACTGCAACAAACAGTTAAATGTAAGCAGGTAATAATTTCAGTGAGAATTAACATTTAAAAAACTGGGCCATTCACTACAGATAACTGTTTAGATGTTGGCACAAGTGAAAATTTAACTGTAACATAGGTTCAACTATTTTTTTTTCTTTTTAACTTCAATACATACAATACATGACTAAACAAAATGCATTTACCTGTACTGCAAGGTCCGGATTCTGGCTTAATGACTGCATCATGCTTCTCATGTAGGGTGCAGACAACATATTCTGCATAAGTTGTGGGTTTTCTGTTATCTGCTGTAGCAAGCTCTGCATTCCTGGTGTGTTGAACATACCAGCTTAAAAAGCAAGTAAAAGGTCACTGCAGTAAACATCCTGATTATCATCAGAGAAATTAAGACTACCTATAGCCACTTCATTTCTAAGACTTTTAGACCTTGAAATACACCTCAACGTGGTTCTGCTTACACAGTCTATCTACCCCGGAAGTTAAGACACAGGATGTATCCAACAAGCAGTGCCACTAAGCATCCGAGCTGTTATTAGCTGTTCTCACCTTTGCTTCCAAACAAGAAAAATACTTAAGAATTCTACTGAGTAGAGTAGTAGAGTCTCTACTTCTGTTATTTTAAGGCAACACACAAGTATTATTATCCTTCTTAGTTTACTTTTCACATTTGTTTTTCTACAGAGGACTTTGATACTAGTCAAATGTTCTAAAAAAATGACGTATCAATCAAAGCTCTGCATCAGACACCTGTCTTTCTAATGAAAGAATCACTTCAAGCTCCCAAGTATGTGCCAATATATACAACTGCAGAAAGATGCACACCTCCTAGTCCAGGTCCCAGATTTGGTACAGCTGAGCTCTGTCCCACGCTGCCAGAGGTGCTACTCCCAGCACTATTACTGCCACCGCTGTCACCACCGGTGCTGGTACTTGTTGTGGAAGTCTGCAAGTTGGGCTGAGGAGCCCAGGGATTTGGTAGAGGATCTCTGTTTTCAGTACGAGATGGCTGATTGTCCCCTCCTGTTGATGCATTGCTTACTAAAGAAGCGAATGGGTTACCTCCAAACTACACCGGGAGGAAAGCAAACATATATCATCTACTGAAGCCAACCATTTTCAAGTCTGCTATAAATGGCAAGTTATCTTCCCAAAATTACACATGAAGATAACTGTTTATAGCTCTTGATCAGTTATACTCACCTATCTACAGTAATTTATTATTGTAAATATTCTGAGAAGACAACAACATTGAGAGATTCTGGCACCTCGAAAAAGATTAAATCACATTTCTTTTTGAAAACAGTGTTGCTACTATACTGGTATTTTGAACACAGCATGTGTTGCATGATGGTTTCCAACTTCAAAGCTTTTTTCTCTTCTTTTTTTTTTTCCCTTTCTTTCTCCCATCTCAGATTCCAAGTTAATAAAAACACCCTTAAAAAAAAAAAATCTTCTGGGCCTCAGAGTCTTAAGGCAAAGAATTAAAGGAATTCAAATTTAAGTAATACAGAAATTCATTAACTTTAAAAGAGCTTCTCAAACACGCAATGCAGTATCTGTGTTTCTTCAGGCTTAGAAGAGCACACAGGATTTTTAAGTGTCTTCCTTCTCAAGAGCATTAGGCCATTCAGTGACTTCAAGCTTCAAGAACTGTTTTGTCAAGTACGCATTAGGAAACCATATTACAAGTTTTTATTTTTAAAAACGTTTACTTTCAGGGGCATTTGCCATTTGTTCCCACCTGCTCCTGTGCCGCGTTCAGCATGGGCTCCTGGATGTCGGTGTACATGCGCCGCAAGGCGTTGTACCCGCCCGGGATGCTTTCCAGGTTGCTCAGGGCTCGGTCCTGGTTCCGCATCATCTCCTGCATCATCGCCGGGTTTCTAGCCAGCTCTAGTGTCTACAGAAACAGAACGTTTGATGCCTATTAATTAGGAAATCCATTCTAAAGTGAAAATGTCAGCATTTGGCAGTATCTCAGCTACCGCTGTCTAACCCGGTCTGAAATTACGATGAAGGCAAACTGAGATGACAGCTCAGTGGAAGCTGACTGAATTCTGTACTTAGCATTCTACCACAGCTGCCATTATGCCGGCTGGGTCAGGAAGCACTGGCTAAACAGAAGAAAAATGACGAAAGAAAAGAATAGTTCCTTCAGCATCTTTTCAACACAATATACTCTTACCGTTTCTAACATTGTTACAGCAGGCAGCCTGTAATATGAACTTTAAAATAAATACCTACATTTTCAAAGACATCTACTTAGGTTTAGATACATTCTGCCACATAGCGTATTATACATACCGCCTGGTTTTAAAAGCACTCAAAAGTGCCCACAGTCAGATAAAATGAAAGTACTTAGTATTTTGGAGAATTACCACTTTTGGTAAACTAGCTGGCTAGACAACAGAAGGTTTCACGTGCACACAGGGAGATGCAGCTCTAACCTCAGGAGACCTGATGACACAGTTTTCAATGTCTTTCAAAGCTGTGCTGCTTATTTTCTGAATTATCAGTCTATTTTGGACATTAACAACTACAAATGCAAACATCAGTTGCCTAGAGCAACCTTTTATGGATTTTCTAACAAGCCTGAATACTTCCAGAATACTTAAGTGCCCAACTAAGTATGTCTAACTCCTGCTCTGTTGTTCACAGTTACAGTATAATCAAAGGTCATGAACTTATTACACAGATCCTTCTACATACCTGTCTCATTATATCTGGATTATTCAGCATGTGACTGATTTCTGGATTTCTCTGTATCAGTTGCTGCATTTGAGGGTTAGCCATAATTAACTGCCTCATCAGGTCAGGATTTGAAAGCATGCTCTGAACAAATGGATTCTCCATTATCTGAACCATCATTTCTGGGTTGGACATAAGTTGCCGTTGCATTTGAGTTTGCAACTCTGAGAAGTTTGATGTACTTAAGCCCAGGCTACTCAGACCTGACAAACCTCCAGGGTCACCTTTAAGAAGATGAAAAAAATGTAATTGAACTTTCAATTTCTAGTATACTTCAAAACACATCCAGGCTCTTTCTGAATACAAAATGCTTGAACATACCCCACACATCAAAGTAAAGACAATGAATGGAAAGTTCATCTCTGTAAAGCTGTTCACATATTATCCACTAAGAGTTCGCTTCTTTAAATAACAAGACATATAACTAAATATTCAACAAATTGGACCCAAAATACAACTTGTTACAACACTAGCAGCTTTTCTTCTCATTTCCACAGCTAAGATACAAAGGATGTTTGAGTTTGGGGGCCTCAGGTTTCCTCCCACCCCACTCCCAGCAATGCTTTCCAATCCATTCATAACAATAATTTATCTGTCTCTTCTTGGGTTAGACTGTAATCAAGACAGATCTCTCAATATGACTCATATTCCCTATTACAGTTACAAGTACAGTTCTTCTTCTTACTAATGTAGCAAAAGCTAATTATGCTTTGAATTCTCCTCCTCTGCTAAGTCCAAAAAAAAAATTTCAGAAGGTACTAGCCAGCCTGTAGAACTGTTTACACTTAAGAAAGAACCTGCTTACTATGGTTAGCTTTTTCAATTCTACCTCTTCCACAACCCTGAAAGCAAATGAGATGAAAAAAGAATGACCCAAAAACCTCACTGTGATTATGGAAATAGCGTATTTTTAAGTCAATAGACTGCAGTCTCTTTATTCATGAAAGAGAAGACTGATAATGCTATCAGACTTGAAACTTAAGAATTACCAAGCTGAAAGCTTAGCAGCAATTTTGTCACTTCTGTTCCAGATCTTGGTTTTATGTTACTGGTCCAACTTGATCAATACTCTCTCCTCACAACAATTCAGATGCACTTTTAAGCAGCACAAGGACACTGGAAGAGTTTCACTACCCACGGTGTCAATGTAATATCAGTGGCACCTTACTACTGAAGGTGAAACAGCACAAATTTGAAGTTCTGCATATAAAATTAAGGAAGATCTCTTCTGAGAATTTACTAATCAGAAACTTTCTACAACAAATACCATAGACATTTGTAACCAATTTTTTGGATGGTGCGGGTTTTTTTGTTGTGCTCTGGTTTGCTTCTCAGGGTTTTTTTCAAGCTTTTAAATAATAAAGCTTCAGGGAGAATTACCTGAATCCAAGAGAAGATACCCACCACACTACCTAACAAATATTCTTACCCAAGCCAAAAGGGTTACTATTTGTTGAAGGTGGTGTTGAGGTACTACTGCTTGATGTTGATGTGGTGGCAGTACTCCCAGTGCTGTCTGCTTGTTGAGCTGTGTGATCTTGTGATCTAAAACAACAAATTTTGAAGTTGCAAGTTTAACATGTTAATTTATATAGTGCTGTTAAATACAGGAATAGTAACATACTTCTGAATCTTAATTTACATTTTGATTCTGTCTCAAAAATCATGCTATTATCTCTAGATGGCTTCCTGTAACAAATCTTTCATAGACGTCTGTCATGTCATCAGTTTTTCAGAACAGTCATTGGAAGCATTAAGAAAACAGATGGCTATCACCAAAGGCATCACCACCTTCTCATCATCCCCAGGATGCCCGCCGATGAATCGCTTCCTCTGTTCACTCAAACACTACTGACTACATGCTTGAAGCTTAAAGAAATAAAGCCTAGGAAGATTTAATGTTGGACTTCATGCCACATCTTTCATAGGATGCCTTACAGAATGTGAAATTCAGTTAATGTCTTATTTCATTAGAAGACAAATATCAAAACCTCAATAACCTTTAAGGCCCCAGGAAGAGGCTAAAACCCAAAGTTAGAGACAGCATAATTTAGCACAGGCACTAACAGCTGACCCAGCCATATACTCACCACACCTTCCTACTGCAGCAGCATAAACACAGGTGCTGACACGTAATAAAAAGAGATGAAGGGAACAGAGCCTGTGTAAAGCTAACCTGGCCTTTACTCAAAGGAGGCTACTTTTAAACCCCAGTCAGTTTTCCAGTCTGGGTCAACAATCAATCCCATAAATGCCTGTATCTGCAAAACCACAGCATAAAATAACTTAGAGAAATCATCAATTCAGACCTCCCACAAAAATTTGGGTACAGTACGATAAACTTCATCTCAGAATACTTTTCTGCTATAAAATTCCATGCTTGTTTCACTAAAGCAAAGAACATTTAGGTAAAAAAGAAGAAAGGCGCCCTCTCCCCCCAAACAAACAAACCAACCAAAAAAAAGCAAGCCTGAGAGATGCCTCAGTTTTAGAGGCTTCCTTAAGATTTCTAAAAGTTCTCCGACTCCAGGCTAAACATAAGCCACCAAAAATCAGTCATAAATTAAATACTCTGCACACCTCAGCAGTTCTTTCACTAAATCACCATCACTAGGTTATAAGTAGCCCAAACGCAGGGATAACCTGGACATTTGGCCAGCATTCCTGTAAACAGGCATATAAAATATGGACTGCCAAGTCACGAAAGTATAGGATATTGTGGGACCAAACCGCCTCATACAAGTTCTTCATAACGTTCTGGGTGTGAAGGAGAAGAAATAAATTTGAGTCCAAAAGATCTAACAGTTCTAAACCCCAAGTTCATAGTGATTCCTAGAATTTGGGTTTGCATATTTTAATTTGTGTTCCTTTCTTGTTTACTTTCAGGTCTGTCAAAACACACACAGATTCTGTTGAATTAAAACCCATTCTAGAAGAAACCTTCCAGACGGATGCTAACACATGAGGAAAGGAAATATTGGGATACTGGGCTTTGACATAAGCTGCCCTGACATTAGGAACTGGGTGCAACTCTAGGCTCCTGAAAAGAACAAGCATTAAACACTCTGTAACATTAACAGCAACTGTGAACTCTGAGCGCAAGGTGACTACCATTAGCCATGTTTCTGCAACTTCAGTGAGGAAGATTACAGACAGTATGCTGACTGTGGATTTTCTGCTAGAGGTATTTGGCTTCCTTCAGTCTAGAAAACACATAAGTCTTTCCTCAGTAAGAAAAAGGAAAATAATAAGCATAAACCCCTATTTGGTTTTTCAAACGATGATGTATTTTGAAATGCAACCGTACTTCACAGGACAAGAAAGGTTCTCAAAGCAGAAAAGCAGATGAGACTGAAAACTTGCAGTTCACAGTGCTTCTGTGGAAGCTGGGGGTATATACCCTCAAGGTAATCATTTGAGGGTCAAGTCTGTTAGTCTCAAGTCTTTGAGTGAAATTCCTGCAAAGTGCACATCACCTTTTATATCCACTTTGCAATTATGTTTCCTCCTGTGACTTGTGAACAAAATACAGATCTTGACTTGGAACTCCACATGCGGAAACTCCAGGCACCTTCAGGGCTCACTGCCAGTCACTCACTGCTACTCTGGTACTGCACAGGCCAGATTCCAAGGCTACACTGGAAACCAGCACCACCCTGGAATATGCCATGCAGAAATAATTCTTTTATTTTTTCCCAACAAGCATTGGTTGGGACACATAAGGATTCCTATTTGGAAGTTTTATATCTAATGTTGATTAGAAGGGAAAAGATCATCTTCAGATCTAATTTTGGAAAACTTTTGTTTATTCAGATACATGCCAGCAACAGTCAACAGAAAAGTAAATGGCATAGTGTAAAGTGGTTGGAAGCAATCTCATCTTGATACTCATGGCTAAAAATCAGCACTTGCCAGGTTCTAAGTCTTGCCTTTTGGGTCAAGCACAAAACCCAGGTATTTTAGTAATAATATTGAGATGATTCAGGTCAATGTTATGTTTTCTAAAGCCTATTTTCGTTGTGCTGGCAATTCTCTTCAGCAGGTTGTAGGAGAGTATTTCTAGTTCATTCAAGCAAAGCTAATAGGTGAAAATATTACTACCTCATTTGAAGATAGAGTAGATACATATAAAGCATCTCTGTTCTTTTGTTTGTTACTTCCCCGAGACAGGATTGAAACATTCTGAGGATAATGGTAACACGCTGTCTAAAAATTACTCAAAAAAGCGGGCGAGAGGATAGACGTGGATTGCAGTGCTGGTAGGACTGATGCAGGAATACTAAAAATTCCCCCCAAATCATAAATGTGGCATTGTGCATAGGTGCTGCCCTGCCCAGAGGCAAAGTACAATAAGGTTCGAGAGACTGCCACCGGTATTTCACTATGAGTGGTTACTGTAGGTGCAACCTATGAATCCTCTGCAGACTCTGCAAGTCAAAAACATCCTGCCATTACCACTCATCAAGCCTCTCAGCCACACTGACGACTGCAAGTAAAAAAGAGCAGAAGTCATGACAACAGCAGAATACTAGCTTAGATGCACAAAGCACAAAACTGCAGTATTAGCTAATACTGTACACAAGACTGGGATGGCTATCAGGCCTGAACTTCTGCCTGGGGAGGCATAATGCAGGGAAAGGAGATCTCTGCCAGCACAAAGGACAGTGTTTTGACAGAGACAAGACTGCAGGACAGAGAAGACAGTCTCATCACCACGTGAAGACATCAATTTCAACAAGTTGCCTAAACTTAATGCTAATATTACTAATAGGCCTTTTTGATTTGGTGAGGCAAGGAGAGGGAAAGCATATTTCTTTTCTCTCCTAAGTTCCGTACTCTTCCCTTCATCATCTGACATTTTCCCACAGAAGATCCTCACCACAGGCAGGCACCGACAGGCACGGTAGAAACAGCAGAACAGGAGCAAGTACACTTTTAGTCTAGAACAAGAAACAAGTTATTGACTAAGTAAACTAGGTTCAATTGAGGGATATATAATCCTACGTACTGAAAAGATCTTCTACTTGAGCATATTCCTTCTGGGCACTTCACAGGAAGTAATGTGCAGATGACAGAGCTCACCTGATCCAGCTTTCTCGCTATCGTTTTAAAGCTGCCTCACCAAAACAAAACAAAACAAAACAAAAAATTAAAATACATGTCTTTTCCTTCAGCCAGATAAATCAGTTCCACTGAAGCAGTTCCCTCATGGAAAAGTTTCTTTCCTTGTTTTACCAAAACAGTGAGCAAGGATCCACTGCAAATTTCCACATGTGCAAAGAAAACCTGCACAGCATATCTTTATGGGTGAAAAGAACTGGTATCTAGGACACGGGGAGCCAAAACACAGCCAGCATCCAGCATTAAAAACAAGAAGCTAAACAACTCAAAAGAAAGACTTACATGTCAAAAATGAATCCAATAACAATACAAGATAAACCAAAGAAATGTAATTTCAGGCTGTTATTCTGCACCAGCTGTGACTAAGAAGCAGATTAAAGTGATTCAGTCAAATCTAGGTTTGTCCAACAGAAAGCTGTTAACAATTCAGAGTACTTTCACTCCTTAGAGGTAAACAGAAGATCACTCATCAGCGAGGTTACCTGTTTTGTGTTTTGATGACCAGATGAACAGTGAGTCCATCGTGAATTCCATGCTGAGTCAAAGTATCTTGATCTTTTAAAATTTTTCCAGCAAATATCAACACAAGCTGATCAGTGTGAGTCTTGAAACGCTTCGAGATTTCTTCCTTGAACTAAAAAAAAAAAATTAAAATTGTAAATTTCTGTAACTGGATGTTGAACTATAATCTTTTTAGTCATTTAAGGACAAATTATTTTGTTCACATTTAATGTATTACCCCACTTGTACAGTATTTTCTTTTACACAATCTTGAAATACTTTAAGTTTTCTCAACATTTTTGTCCACAGGAAGAGGGGAAATACTTATTTCTTTTTTGTACAACAAGGATTAGAGGAGTTCACATCAAGACCATTAGTTATATATCTGATTTCACTTAAAGACTACTGTGGCATGACAATAAAAACATAACAGTATATATAGTACTTACATATACAAGCTGTAAACTAGGCATATAATTAATAAGTGTACACTAATATATATACACGCAGAGACACACAGATGCACGTGCCACCAAAGGCATCCACTGCTGGAAGACTGAAGACGTGCTGAAGGGACCCACTGGTGAATGGATTTAAATCCAGCTGGCAACCGGTCACAAGCGGTGTCCCTCAGGGGCTCAGTTTGGGGACCAGTCTTGTTTAATATCTTATCAGTGACCTGGATGAGGGGATCGAATGCAGCCTCAGTAAATTTGCAGATGACACAAAATTAAGTGGGAGTGTCGATCTGCTGGAGGGTAGGAAGGCTCTGCAGAGGGATCTGGACAGGCTGGAGCAATGGGCTGAGGTCAGCTGTATGAGGTTTAACAAGGCCAAGTGCCGGGTCCTGCACTTGGGTCACAGCAACCCCAGGCAACACTCCAGGCTTGGGGAGGAGTGGCTGGAAACTGCCTGGTGGAGAAGGACCTGGGGGTGTTGGTGGGCAGCCAGCTGAACATGAGCCAGCAGTGTGCCCAGGTGGCCAAGAAGGCCAATGGCATCCTGGCCCGTGTCAGAAACTGTGTGACCAGCAGGAGTAGGGAGGTGATCATGCCCCTGGACTCAGCACTGGTGAGACCACACCTTGAGCGCTGTGTCCAGTTTTGGGCACCACAGGATAAGAAGGACATGGAGGTGCTGGAGTGGGTCCAGAGAAGGGATACAAGGCTGGTGAAGACGCTGAGGAACAAGTCTTATGAGGAGTGGATAAGGGAACTGGCATTGTTTAGTCTGGGGAAGAGAAGGCTGATGGGACACCTTACTGCTCTCTGTAACTACCTGAAAGGAGGTGGGAATGACATGGAGGTTGGTCTCTTCTCCCAAATAACTAGCAATAGGATTAAAGGAAATGGGCTTAAGTTGCACCAGGGGAGGTTCAGATTGTGTCTTAGGAAGAATTTCTTTACTGGAAGAGTGGTGAAGCATTGGAACAGGCTGCCCAGGGAGGTGGTGGAGTCATCATCCCTGGAGGTGTTAAAAAAAAAAGTGTAGACGTGGCACTTTGCAATATGGTTTAGTGATCATAGTAGTGTTGGTTTGATGGTTGGACTTGATGATCTTACATGTCTTTTCCAAACTTAATTACTTTATACAACGTCAGAAGTATGATAAATCTATCCACACTTGCTAGAACTGAACAGAGAAACACCCTCTCTTCTTAGACATATTTTTGCTATCTTCTATGTGGCAAAATTAGCACTGCTTTCCGTACAGGCAGAAGTTCTCTCTCAGGTGGCTCTGCCTTCTCAGGCAACGTGTGACATAGCTACAGAAAATGTGTCTGTAGCCAAAGGCAGGGTGAATAGCCACATTCTTCAGCTGATGGGGAAATCACACTCTCACTAAAACAACAGAACATGGAAGCCCACTGCAAACCTTCTTGCTTTCCTAGCCAAAAATAACCAGGTTATGCTTTGACTAAGTTCTGATTGAGATTTATTATTCTCTTGCAAAATGCTCTCACTGAAAACAAAAAACTCACAAAACTTAAAAAGGAAGCTATCCAAGGAAGACACTAAGGAATGACTTGATTATAAGAAAGCTAGGAAAATATAATCAATAAGACAAAAATTATTCCAGACAGTAAAGTCTTTCAGTTCACCTTATTTAACATTTTAAAATTAAGTTGATCATACTACTTCAAAAAAAACATCCCAAATATCTTAGGGAATTCTCACTCCATATAGAAAACCAAAATATTAATCTTGCAATTAGTTATTAATAATTAAATTTCATAATGAGCATTTTATAATAGTCTAAAAAGTAAAACCCCACTCTACTATGCTTTGAAGGTGACTTTCTAATTGAAAGGATTTATAGTATAGGAAGAGGGGAAAAAAAAAAAAACAGTCTGGAAAAAAACAGAGTCTGGGAGGCAACACCTGTTAAAAGTCTCTGTGTTTGAGTAGGAAGTTACCCTTGGTTAGTTACAGTCTGCTTACACAGAGTTAGTTCAATTTCTAGGGGAAGCAATCTTTAAGTCGGCCTTTATACTGGCGATATTCGGACTTGCAAGTATTCCAGACAGTCACTCAGTCCATTCCTTCCCAAAGTGGATAACTTACCTGAATTATTCCTGACATATTGATCTAGTCTGTTCTAAGGTCCCCAAGCAACTTTTTTCTCAAGAAACCTATTCCAGTATTTCACTATCTTGTTTCTTCACTGTCCTGCCCCCAAAGGACAACACAAACAAAGTGTTATTCTCCTTAGAATAAAGGGTTGCAGTAAAGCTAATATTGCCTTGAGGACAGCTTTCTAATCTAATCACTGCCACCACTCTATGGATCCTCTAATCCATTTACATTACTTCATAAGTGTGGGACTCAAAACTGATCAAAATATTCCACACCAATTCTTACCTATACTTAGTGCAACAAGAGGATAAACCCACATCCTGCACAGTATGCCCCTATTTATAAGAAAATGTGAGAAATCCATGTGAAAAATATATTAATGATATACTACTGACTGATTTAATAACTACAAATTCCAGACCCTTTCCTGCAGAGAACTTTTCAGGCAATCGCTTCCTATTCAGCATTCTTCTGGCTTACTATTTTTAATACACATTACAAATTAACATAAAACCAGCAAAAATACTCACAATTTGGTAAAGAGCTAATGCATAAGAATGAAGGGTTATCATACTGTGCCAAACCAAAGAGTAACATCATTTACCCCACCTCATTGTTATATTTTCCACAATATGTTGTGACAGTGAGGTCCACAACTTAATTTTCACCATAAGACTGTTGCTACAGCATAAACAATATTCCCAGAATCAGTATCTCAAGTTGGAAGGGACCCATAAGCATCAGTGAATCCAACTCCTTGCAGGGCTACCTAAAAGTAAACCATACAACTAAGATTGTTGTGCAGACACTCCTTGAACACTGGCTGGCTTGGTGCTGTGACAACTTCCAGGGGAGCCTGTTCCAGTGAGCAACTGACCACCTTCCTCTCAGTGAAGAATCAGGACCTGACCCCCTCACCAGGAAGCTGTGGACTCTGATGAGGTCACCCCCGGGCCTTCTCCTCTCCAAGCTAAACAAGCCAAGCGACCTCAGCAGCTTCTCAGAAGTGTCGACCTCAAGGCTTTCACCATCTTGCTTATTCTCCTCTGAACACACTCCAGTACTTTGACGTCCTTCTACAAATTACTTTCTCTTAAAGCAAGCCCTGTCACACATTTCTTGAAGCTGCTATTTACACATAAGGTCAGGAAACAAGACATCAGCTATAGAACATAACCAAACAGCATCTAACATTACTAGTATATAGGCATCAAAGGCTATACAATTCCTTTTCCCTACTTGCAAATAACAGTATTTACATGATCTGCAAAAACAACACTACAGTAAGACATGAATGCAACAGCCAAGGTACCTGGATCACCAAAATAACCTCTACATAAACACACATGCACGATCCAAATGCACAGCAGGTCTCTTTCCAGACACAATAATAAAACCATCAAGGATACTAAGCCAGTTTTGGCTAGCTGAGGAATATTTACAAAAAAAGCCTACTCAAGATGCAAAAAAGTCAGGTCTTCACCAGCTTCACTTGTGTTCAGGACAACCTTGAGGCTTCTGAAGTGGCAAGGTATAAGCAGGACCAAACCCTCTGTTAGACAGTTCATTCACAGAAGAATACCACATAAATCATAGGTTGCCATGCCAGATATTTTGAAAATTAGTCTGCTAATTAGTGTTAACTGTCAAAGATACCACCAATACAATGAGGTCCACAGACAGTTTTTTTGCTGAGGTGAGGGAAGAGAATCATCTATACATTTGTAAAACCGAGTCCCGAAACCATTTTCAATACCCGTGGGTTTGCTGGGTCATTTTAACTGTCAACATTAACAATGTGTTGTTTCTGAACAAAAAAAATCAAAATATGAATAAGTCCACCTTCAGCATCCCCTGGTCTCTGCCAGTACTGGAAGACAACCAGCCTCAGGTCGGAGTTTGGCACAAGTCACTATTGCGTGCACTGTGAAATAAAGTCAAGGATAGTGGAAGAGAATTTTTCCAAGCATCTGGGGGAAAATACCTACATCCAGTATGTTCAGTATATTGTTAATGGTAAGTGAACTGCAGCACCATCCCCCCACAATACAGGAGAAAATCCAGAAGTTTCTTTAAATTCAGACAGTAAAAAGACAAAATAAATGACTGTCAGTTGCATTCTTACTCCCACAGGCCTTATTGGTAGTTTCATAGGATTTTCCACGGCTGCTGCTGGCAATAAACAATTTGGGGAACATGCTTCTACAGCACTATGGTAATGAAAGACAGCCTAAACAGTGAAGATAGCTACATCAGTTTTCCTTTCCCTGAGCAGGACCATAAATAGGAAGCTAGTGTGCATCTCCTCAGAGCCTCAAGTTAAACATATGCTATTGACAGCAAAGGCAATAAAGGAAATATGATTACGATGATGGGAATTAATGCAAATTTAGGCAGTTTTAAGAAAATAAACTTTGGTACTGTTCAGATCTTTGGCTTGTACAACTAAACTAAATAACACTGTAAGTTAAACTATGTTGTCACGTGGGAAAACTGTAAGCAGGAGTTCAAAATGCCACTGGCTGGAAATTATGAGCATTTCTGTCCCATCCTCCTACTGCACCTACTCTTTTATTAATGTTACACTCCAAGCAATGTTTTCAGCTGATTTGCTTTACTGTTCTAAATACAAGTTTTACTTCACTGTAATGATACTAGGCATTGTGATATTACTAAGGTGTTCAGCTTTATCTGAGCATAGAAAAGGATATAAAAATGTTTCAACACACCTAACACTGAGCATATTCACAGAACTAGTTCACTGTACTCCTCTAGTAACTGAGTAAGATAAAAATAATGTAAAATTGTCAATTTTAGACATGATTATTAGACAAATCAGTGGAGAGAAGCACAATGGCAATGTCCTGGTTTGGGTTAGAACAGAATTAATTTTGCGCTTTCTGAAGTTAGCACCATATTTTCACAGTCAGTGTCTGCTTCCAGCAGTGATAACGCTCCATGTTTGGAGTTACTACCAAGGATTGGTGTGCAGACCAAGGTCACTGCTAAACCCTGTCCAGCCTGGGACTTCTACCCAGGGGCTGCTCCCCAGCACCGGAGGTGATGGTGACATATTGCCAGCAGGGGGGAGTTGGCTTCAGTACTGGTTTTGCATATATCTGCATGTATTCCATTTTGTTGTTATTAGTAGTATTACTTTCATTAAAGCTGCTTTACTTTTCTCATTGGTAAGTCTCTCTCCCTTATTCCCTCTCTCTTCTCCTTTGGCAGACAGGTTAACAGTGTCTGTTACAGCTCTGGGGGAAGCCCTGACCCTAAACTGTGACGGAATCAGACCGAAACACAAAACTAACATCTAGACTTCCCTAGCTTCCCTAGGGAGAAAAGGAGAAAGCATTCTTAATCAGAGTGAATTAATTCAAGCTCGCAGCTTCCTCAAAGCATGGCAGCTGGTATATTTGCCATGAATTAGAGCAAAGCTAAAGCTAGTCTTGTTACAAGTGCCTTGCTCACGTTACCATTTTACCTCAAGTTAGCTTGTTCCTATGAGCTTTTTTTTTTTTTAAGGACACAAACAGCCCAGTTTTTCGCATTGAGAACATTCACATGCTGCACACCAGCACTTCTTGTTTACATTCTCAATTTTCATGTCAAATACTCTAATTTTCACACAACTTTAAAAGCCGCAACCCAATATTTTGCTAACAAAACTCTTTTTTTTTTTGTTCTATGTTAACACAAAAAAAAGGCTTCATGAAGCAAGTTAGGACTTCTATTACACTTGTTCCACTTGATCACCTCAGAAGGTTTTTGCAAGGTATGGTTGGACACCCTGGTGTTGATGACCAGTACTCAACAAATTCATACTTGTACCTGAGCTAGCTAAAGTAAACATTTTGTCACCAAAAAAATCAAATACCTGAATACACATGAAGGAGAACAGCAGACTAAGAGACCGTTTTGCACTCCACTTTGCAGACTAGATTAATACTTTAAACATTAAGCTATTAACATCTGACCATCTGAAAAGTTGGTCCAGGAAGGGTAAAAAGTTACTCCAGGCCAAGCAAAACTCTTAATGTGCCAGTTATCCTTTGATAAGTTACCACCATATAATGATTCAAAAGCTTTTGCTGACTCACTCTATGACATCAAAACCAGCAACTGTAATAACATTACTGTCCAGTCACATGACAAAGCACTGTGAAAAAGTAACAAAAAGAGGCAAACAAATAAATGAAGAATATGTTCCCAAACCCTCTCTACCTTCGTCTTAGTAAGACCTATTTTAAAATTAAATTACAGTAACAGTCCAGAAGAGGCCTCAGGGAACATCCAATTCCCACCAAAGAGTAACAGAAAACAAGCTCCTAAAGACTGCAACTGCTTTGAAAACACTGAGCTACAATTTCATCCAGAAGACAACAAAAAACTGGCAGTTGCTGACTCTGGCCACAGCACACTGTTTTTAACACAGTAGTGGATGGCCTGGAAGCAGGGGTTTTTATCTAGAGGGCTAAACAGCAGTTTACATTCCCAGCAGTCCCTCAGATAGTTCTACTACGGAAAGGTAGTACAAACCGCACTGTCTCATTCAGCATGGCTGTTTCAAAACATCCATGATCATTTAAACTTTCCACTGCCCTTCCTATTAACATACACAGTAAAACCTATTAGCTGGATTCCAGTCATCCTTACACCTACATCCAGCAGTTTCAACAGAGGCTAACTCTGATGAGTTCCAGCTTTCTTTCACACCGTAGAATTAATGGCTACAGACCTTCTCAACCCAAGAAGGAAGGACGCAAACACAGTCATGGCAGGACAACCACTGACAGCTGTGGTGATCAACCATCATACCCAGTAATCTTATGACTGTGAATTAAAGTGAGTCAGTGGAAACAGGGTTTCACTGCACAATTCTTGGACAGTATGTAGGAAGGGGGAAAAAAAAAATACTGTGGTTTCAGGAAAGCAAGCCCTTTGGTCCCCAGTCCACAGCAGATAAAGGACAGTTACAAAGCACACCCAAAATCAGGCTTCTA